GCAATAAGCAATTAAAGCAGTTAAAAAAGTAACCAATATTTTATTTCTGAATCCTTATAATATTTGTTTCTAATTATATTACTTCATTCAAAAGAGAAAATTAAAGAAAATTAAAATAAAAAATAGCTTTATTTTAATCACGATTTTTCAAGAAAATCTATAAATTAATCTATAAAGGCAAGATTAGATCGTAATTTCAAGAATTATTATTATGATTAGGTCACACGAATGAGATCTCGCTATCTCAGTTATTTATTCAATCAATATCTCTAAATTTTAAAATTATATAAAGTGTAATTAACAATGGAGTACATTATCATTCATTGTAAAAAATAAAATTAATGATCATAAATATAAGATTCATAAATATAAAACAATATAAGATTCATCTTGAAAAATACTTTGAAAAATAAAGAATCAGTTTAAAATTTTTTATATTATTTAAAACATACCTAATATATATATGTATATATATAAGTAATGTAATAAATTAAGTTTTGGTCTAATTGTTAATAACACGTACAAATTGTTAATGCAATAAACTGAAATTAAAAAAATTTATAATCAATATTTGCAATATTTTTTTTTTATTTATAAATGAAAAATATTATTATTCATAAACAATTTTATTTATTTAAATATTTTTAATATTTATTTTATTTTATTTAATATTTATTTTATATTATTTATATAAATTAATTAAATTAAAGAAGAATATATTAAATATATAAAGTAACCTATTTTTAATCTATTTTTATAAATTTAATCATCTTCTACATTATAAAAAAAATATTTCAAATAAAGTTCATAATATTTCGAAGTAATATTTTGATATTATTAATTTCTGCGAAGGTGAATTATCAAATTTGATTGTGAATGATTTTTTAAAATAAAATTATATTGGTTAAATCATATAATCTAACTATTTTAAATAATTCATAAATTATTTGTTATAAAAATATTTCAAACAAAAGTTTTATGGTTGCATAGTATAGAAAGAGACATAGTCTATTAATTTTTTTAAATGAACATAAAACATATAAAAGTCAAAATTATTTTTTTAATTTTATAATCATATATTTCGTAATAAATTAATAGTATAAATTGTTATTCTATATAAAAAAATTATTAAATCATTTAAGAAAAAAATTATTAATTTTAAATATGCAAATATTTTAATTTTGCAAAATCTCTTTGTAAACTAAAAAAAAAATGGACAAAAAAGTATGGTTTTTATATTTTTTCATCAGTCTTTAGTAAATTTTACTTAAAATTAAAATATATAATTATTTTTCACCATATGATCTATATAATAGTATAATATAATATTTTTTTCTTATTTAGAGTAACATTGATTAATAATTTAAAATATTATGATTCCATTAAAAATATGATCCATATATATTTTTTTATGAATTTATCTTCAAAGAAATTAATCATAATAAAGACTCGAAAGTTCATTTTCGAAACAATAAATTATATATATATA